GAAACGAAGAAACTTATCGAAAAATGATTGTTAAGGAAGCGGTAAAAAGATTGAAAAAAAAAATAGTTTTGTGCACGAAATTGAATAACTTCAAAAATAAACTGAATTTTTACCATGATAGTTCTAAAATAATTAAAGAGTATTCATATAACATGTTCCTGGAAATAAGTTGAACCTACCTGCCTCTTAATGGATCTACCGATATCTCAAAAAAAAAAAAACTCCCATAATATCAGATCGGAAAGTTGTATTTCCGAGCTATGATCTTTTTCTCAATCTCGGTATGTTAAGAAAATGGTCACTCATTCATGGACTGACCTCGGCAAGTGCAACTTAATCTCGCAGATCTATTCATCCGCGCATCTATTACTTAACCACGAGTTCCTCTTCTTTACGACTAACGCTGTAGGCGATGAACCAAGCTATTTAAGCCCTCCGCACAATGTCGTCGGCCATCAAGCATGAATTGGGCATCCAGCATTGTTAGTATCAAATACTATGGAATTTATACTATCGTGTCTCATGCGCAGATGTCTAGTGGTGCTTCAGGAGCATTACTAAATATCTATACCTAACTACACTAAAAGTTTTATCATTGTGACTTGGGAATATAATCCGAAGCTCCGCTCAACCCCTTAAGAAAAATAGCGTGATGCTTTTTTTATATAGAATAGGGGGCAGACGAGTATGCGACTCACCTGATGGAAATGCTGATGCTATGAATATTGTACTAGTGTTACCGTGAGGCTGTGCGGTTGGTTGAGTAAGGTTATATATTTATTTTGGTTGATAAATAGATACTTAGTTGGGTTGATAATGGCTTAAAGAGGATAATCTCAAGATTTTTTTTATCTTTAATGCACTACAGCTTTATAATGTATACAATTCTGTCTCTATTTTTATCTAAAGTTTTGAAAGTAAAATTTTTGAAGTCTTATTAATACAATGTTATACTTACTGGTACAAATAATGTAGACATGATTCCTTTAAATAAGAAATGTTTTTATTCTACTTTTTCTTTTATACTTCTCAAGAAAATGTTTGCTGCAAATTGTTGAGTTTTTCTTTGGTTATATATAACATAAGATAAAGCAACAAATAATAAATGAGTACATCGATGGCGATTGTTGTTAACATTAAGAACCTTAGAATGATGTTAAGTCATGAATGGACATGCGCGCTAATTTCTCCTGTTGGTTATTTACTTGAATTTTAAGTTACAGTGGACAGCAATAGCGCCAGCCCTGCCGTCTGAACCCAAGAATTTAATCGTAGGGCTAGCTCACCCTCAAACTTATCCCCATTTGCTAATACTCACCCTTTTACTTATAATTCTTTCAGATTTATGAAATAGGCATGCTAGCATTACTCTCTCTCTCTCTCTCGCCCTATCTCTCTCTCTCTCTCTCTCTCACACACACATATTAAACCACACACACTCATACACACACAGACACGCATATTAACCCACACACACTCATACACACACACACTCATACACACACTCACACTCATACACACTTACCCTCAAGTACACGCGCGCTTCTTTAAATTAGAATCTGCTTGTTATTTCTGTAATTTTTCATAATTTTTAAGTCATTTTTGCTTTGCTACCACTGACAATAAAATGCTTATGCAGATTTGAAGAGCCATTATTGTCCGTACCAGGAACTAAAATTGACATAATATGCCAAAGTCTGTTGTATTATTTAAATCATATCTCTGTATTTTGAATTTTTAAACTAAAAATTAAAGTATTTTATGTGGTTTGATTATGTTTGATTTTAGTTACATAGAATTATTTTTAGTAATAATGAGTGTGTATATTATGTAAAATTCGTTCCCAAAAGTAAAGTGAGATAAGATTCGACATAACATAGGTACTTAAAAATTTGTTTCTAATCTCAATATCGTAATTACCAACATGTTTGGCTTTATATTACATAGTTTTTACTGAGTTTTAATAAACAATAAAATTCAATAGGGTTGTTGAGTTCCTTGTCTATAATACTTATCGATGTTCTTTTCTACCCATACCTGTCCACAACCAACCTACCTAGAACAAGAAGCTAGACTAAAATTATGGCTAAAACGCACAAAAATTGTGTATTGGCGTCTGAAACAAAATGAATATCTTTGTTCTAAACACTTCACAGACGACTGTTCTATTAGACATGAGAAACGCACCACTTTGAAAAAGTGCAGTATACCCACAATATTTACTGGTAGTACAAGTATTAGATTACTATTTCGAATGTTTTTTATTTCTTTTCTTCTTATTTTCGCCCATACTCAGTGGTCATAGCCAAGTGTAGAAAGGTCGCCTGATGATGACTTGTATTTACAAGAGGTAAGTTTGTTAAATTTGTTTAATTATTATGACCAATTTATTGCATCAAGGGAATAAATTTATATTGGAACTGTAAAATTATTAATGTCCTTAGTTAGTTTCCGTGAGTTTAGGTGAGAAATAACTCCTCCTGAATGGATTCTCGCCTAGTCGTGGCGAGGGGAGAAGGGAGGGTTAGTAGCCGTGGCTTGGTAACCCATGGCAACGGCTCACATGGCTGGCCCGAAATTAAGGGCTGGCCCAAGGTGGTCACTCTGAGTTGGCTTCTTGAGCCCTTGGATGTGTGTTAGTGAGCTGCGGCTAGAGGAGAGTCCTCTCTCTATATCGCTGCAGCCGAGGTGGTGTCGCAAGAGAAGAAGATCGTTGGTATGGTAATGCGTCACTTGACTATCCTCCGTGACTTTGGCGGGACTGTACCACTTGGTGCTTCCGAGTGCTCGTTTTCCCTTGGCTCCATAGCCTCCACATATCGAATTCGGGAAGTCGGGGAGGGAAGTACTCAACTAAGGAGGGGTCCTCACTGGCGGGGCCGCGGATGTGCTTGAAAGCCTTTCCGTGGCCCTGTCAATGTGTGGTGAATGTGCAACATCATGGGGTTTAGTAGGTGCAAGTCCGACATATTCCGTTCTTGCCCCCTCAATGCAGGTCACATTTGAAACCCGGAACGAAATCCATTATATAGTTACGAATAAAAACGTTGATAGATCAATGCAGCGTCGATTCTTGTTTTATATGAAGTATAAAGCTTGCGTCTAAGGCCTAGGTATTAATTGATACATTTATTTATTGTATGGCATTATATTAATATGATACATAAATAGAATGGTTGTTACGGGTAGGACTGGGTATAGAATTCTTATCGATATATTTTTTCACACTGTCTTATCTCTGTTATTAGTTCCGTGGGCGTTCACTTCTGCTGTCAGCTCCAATATGGCGAAAATCAAATCGCCTCAATATATCACGGTTATGGCCAGTCCATATATAGCGGTCAGTGTTTCATCATCATCATCATCATTACAGCCCTTCACAAGTCCACTGCTGAACATAGGCCTCCCCCAAAGAATGCCACAAAGCACGGTCCTGAGCCACCTGCATCCATCGACTTCCTGCATGTCTTACCAGGTCGTCACTCCATCTCGTGGGGAGACGCCCTACACTTCGCCTACCGGTACGAGGCCGCCACTCGAGAACCTTTCTTCCCCATCGGTTGTCGGTTCTTCGAGCTATATGGCCGGCCCACTGCCACTTCAGCTTACTAATCCGTTGGGCTATGTCGGTTACTCTGGTTCTACTGTGGATATCCTCATTCCTAAGTTTATCACGCAGAGAAACTCCGAGCATAGCCCTCTCCATAGCTCGCTGAGCGACCTTGAGCTTTCTCATACGGCCAGCAGTGAAGGACGGTCAGTGTTTGTTCTGCATAATTGTTTTGCGTTATAAAACATTCGACAAATAGTCACTATGTTCTATTGTAAAATCTTTTGTTTGATCCCCACGAGGCAGGAGTGGGAGTCACAGAACGTTTTTTTTTGTATTTTGGTTAAGTGTTTTCTGGTAAATAAATATATTTATTATTATTATTATTATTATTAAGTTATCAAAAATTAAAAGTATAAGTTAGCGAAATGTGGAGTAACAGCTCTTAAAAGAAATCACGGAAGTAAATTTAGGATAATTTTTAATGTAACCATTTAGGCAATATTGAGGATTGAGATTGTGACATTCCTAAGTCCAATTAAAAGGGTAAAAAATAACTGTTAATAAAAAGTTTTAGTGAAGAAAAGGGATGAAGTAATTTCACATTCTGAAGTCAGAGTTTCAATTCTTCTATAGGTACACAAGTCTTTTGCCTCCTCTACACTACTCGCGAAGCAACTTTGACGAAGTGCTCGTCGAAGTCAATCGCAGTCCGAAGAACGTGACCAAACACTCTTGCTACTTCGCGAAGAGCTCAGTCGTCTTAAGTCTCCGCACCCTTAACATGAATAACGTTCAAGAGGCAGCTGTTATAGGTACCTAATTGTGTGAACAGTACGACGTCAATGCGTTAACTAAATAAATAATAATGTAGAAAGCTACATATTGCATGCCTTAAGCGGAAGCGCAAGGTATGTTCTACTATCGTCTAAAAATGAAGATTCCAACGTTTTATCGAATAAAATCATATCCAGCAATCATATTATACATATAAATGATATAAAAAGCACATTGTTAGAAAGATAAATGATTGTTGAACTTATTTAATATTTATATATAAAAAAAAATATATATTCATAATTGGCGTAAGCCGAGTAGTATAGGGAGACGCTTCGTGTAATTTCGGGGTACTTCGCGAAGTCCTTTGACTCTGGCACAAAAGACCGACAGCGATCGGAAGTCACCCGAGGCGTAACGAGGTTGCACGAAGCGAATCGAACCTCTCTACACTGTTCGCTTTGTCCAACTTCGATCTACTTCGCGAGTAGTGTATTGGAGGCATTAGTTTATCAGAGAGCAACACTGCACTTCCTAATGTCATGGCATATATGACATTGACATATTTGTTTGCAATGGTTTGAAAGATTGAAGTTTTAGAATTTTAGATCAGTCAGACTCATATAGTACCATTTTTGTGCTTTACAATCATATTGAATTTGTTTTTATTAAGATGGATATAGAGGAATGCATGAAGGAGTGGGAAGATTTAATTGCAGACTATAAACGCCTTGAGGTATGTTAACCAAATTTTTTTTTGTATGTACACTATTAACCACATATTATATTGTTTTGTTTAATTTGATGACCCTTACTCGCTTTCTTAAACTTTCTAAACATTTATTATACTGGTCAAATAATATTTTTCAACTTCCTTGACCGCACTAATTTATTTGGTAATTTTAACAACAGTTTCGTTTTACCATTATATTTTTTTTTTATTTTACAATTTCTGTTTTTAAAATTAATATCTGACTCAATAATTAATAAATAAACGTTGATAATTTATGTTTCACAGATATTGTGTGGTTTTATGAAATTGATCTATCAATAGACCTAATAATTTGAACCAAAATTTTTACCTAGTGGCCAGTTCAAGATTATTAAGGCCAACACAAATTTATTGACACTTGCCATGTGTAAAATTGAGTGTACATTTTTTCCGTGGTAGAGCCATGCTGCAGCTATATTGTGGTTGCAGCACGAATGAGTCAACTTGATAGGTTGACTTGTTGGTAGGACCATGTTTTCACAGAATACCAGTGTAAAATAGCAGCTTAATGCTGCTGTGTTTTGTATGGTGAGTGTAGAGAACCGTAGACACTTTTTATTGGAAACAAGGCATTCCATCTCAGTCCTCAGGGGTAACAACGCATCTGCATTTTGATTCTTAATTGAGGATAAATGTAGATGTCAATGAGCCACAGTATACACTTATTACAGCACCATTAAATTAGCAAAGTATTAAGTAGTATTTAGTAAGAAGTAAACAATTGGGGTTGGCTATAGATGTCTGGTACTTGATTTTAATTATGTTTTCAGTTTAGGAGGTTTGTCAGGGTTAAACTTGAACCGTATTGTTTTTGGATTTCAGAAATGCTTTTTGAATTAATTAGGAGAAAAAAATCACATAATATAATGAAATGCAAATATGTCAATTTGTCTATGTTTAACATGTTTCACCCATAAAAAAGTTAATAAATCGTACCTAGGCAATCCTTTTATGGCTGAAGATGGGACTCATACACAATGATTAAGTCACAGTGAAAAGCAGTCAAGAAATTTTTCAGAAAACAAAATTATAACAATTCACATTACATTATTTTATTTACCATAATCATAGCAGAGTTTAGGCCAACCTGACTTTATAGATAAGATAACTCAAATCCGTACTAAAACCAAATCAGCACACTCCGACTCCACGTAGCCTTGTCTGCCCTACCCCTTAAAGTGTTTTTGTAAAGGCGTAGGCGCAGAGGGGGAGGGAGAGCAGCCCCCGCCCGCCGTGGCAACGTGCAACGTGAAATCACAGGCACCTGTGTGAGCCATAGCGGCTGAGGTTGGTCGCCTAAGGCGACTAATAAGCCAAAGCTGTGGAGGTGTTGTTTAACCAACCACAAGCTGGCTGCACCTAGCTGTAGCTGGCTAAACCCAAATTGTTGGATAATTTATACATAAGTAATTAAAAGCAATATGGATTATTTATGACACTACTATATTATCAATATTATTTCGGCATAAACAATATCAATAAACAGGCATTAACTTTATTAGAGTGGACTGAAAATCTACATTTAACAGTTTATCAAAAAGATTGCTTATTTATTCAGCCCAGCTTCAGAAATGAACATTGGGTTCATATTTTAACCGTCTTCAAAAAGGAGGAGGTTCTCAGTTGTGTATAGTTTTTTGTATGTATGTTATGCGATATCCTTGCAGAATATGAACCAATTTTGATGATTCATTTTTTAGGGTTCCATAGTTAAACAACAAGGAACCCTTATAGTTTCACCATATCCCATCCAAATGTCAAGCTATAAATAGGTAGCCATCGGATGATAAAGAAACTGAATCCCCATTTTTTTCGGTTTTATTTTGGAACTGAGTAATACAGTGAAATACCTTGGCTTACACATTGACTCCACCTTCAGCTGGCAAATGTTTGTCAAAATGTCACAGGTATTATGTGTTCTCTCTACTGCCTGAAAAACTTTCTCCTGTCCGAGAAGATTATTGTGCCTAATTTTTCCCATTTTTGACTATGCTGATGTGTGTTACTTTGACCTAAATGCAGAACTCTAGAACAAATATGACCGTATTCTCAATAACTGCATTCGTTTCATTTTTAATCTTCGAAATTATGATCATGTGTCTACTGCTCGCTCTCACCTTAATTGGCTACTCATTTGTCAGTGTCGTAGTCGACGTGCACTTACTACTCTTTACTCTAACTTGATGTCTCCTTATCCTCCATCTTATTTAACTCCTTATTTTCAGTATCTTAGCTCGAACCATGATAGTTCTCCATTCTACTAATAACCTTTTGCTTCAGTGGCCCCCTTTTAGTTCTAACTTTCAAAAAAAACAAAAAAAATGATCCTCACTTTAAAGGTAAAAGTTTAAAGTTTAAAACTAAGAAATTACATTTTTGAACACTGAATAATTTTTTTGTATTTTTTTGAGGGACTTAAAAAACGAGGGTTTTGAGAACGAAAAATTCCGGTTGAACCATTACTAAAGAAGTTATAAGCAAATAACCACAAAAAGAGCGGTTTGTTCGAAAATTCAATATTTTTTAAACATAAGAGGAAGGGTTTTTCGATGGGTACAAAAATGTAGAGAGGTCGAGGAAATCAAAAATGAAGCTTCTTAAAACCATCCATTTTGGCATGGACATTCCCATGTATATTTTAAGTACTTGAGCTTGATATTGCATAGAATAACCACAGTATAATAAACATACAGTAGAACGACGCCTTTGATCTAGTGGTAAATGCCGACAACGTCTAAACAGCGTATGGATGTTAGGGTTGTCACAAATTAACAACTTTTACTAATTTAATTATTTATTTTAGATCTACATCCTCATCAACAGTATAATTACTAAGATAAAAAATAAGTAAAAATTTGTTCTTAGATTTTTCCTAAAAGTACTCAAAACGTTAACTGCACGCCTCACAACGTGAGTGCTCTACTCTCGATATGTGGGCATACCTCAATTTCGCTACATTAAATCGTCTTATACTCTTAGATAGACATCAAATTCATATTATTAAGTTATTCTTATTATTAGTTTATTTTATAATTTATTCTTTAGGCTTTCGAAAGTTCTTCCAATTAAATCAGGTCTTCCAATAACTTCCGTTCATAATTTGCATCTGAAATTTTTAAATATAATACTTATTAATAAATTTTCATAATTATCACCCCCAGAAACCTTAAAATTGACATCCATATTGTATTATTAAAAAAAATCCACCATCGTGGATATGAAAATGGATGCCGTTTTCGTAATCGACACTCAAGAAACTTTGAAATTGACATCCATAACATTAAAAAAAATATCCACCGTCTTGAATTTAAAAATGAATACCATTTTCGTAATGCACTGGGGTGCTGATTACGAAAATTCTTCATTTCTTGGGAGAAATCTCGAAATTGATACCCATATCATATTATTAAAAAAATGTCCGCCATCTTGGATATAAAAATGGATGCTATTTTCGTAATTAGCACCCCGACAAACCTAAAAATTGACCCCTAAATCTTAATATTTTATAAAAAAACTTCGAAAGACCGAAGACGAGGCACTATAGTATGGTCTAAAACCTTAGCCTGTCCAACCACACGATTTAGATGAAGAAAAAAATCAAACTTCGAAAGAGTAATGCCCAGCGACTAGTACCTATTTTTTACGTCCGCCATTCTTTTTACGTTGGCAATTTGGCATGACATGACAAAATATACATAATGTAAAAAATAATAACAATATTTATTTCCTTTTCTTCCGTGTGCGGGATTTGGTGAAATCGCAGATCTTTATTAATGTTAGATGACGACTTGCAATCTCTCACAGCACACGTCGTATGAACCATTTTATTTATAAGTATCCACACTAAATTTAAAAATTATTAAAGCAAACGCGCGTTAACCCTGGAAGTCGTGTCCCGATCTACTAATACGATTGGTATGAGCAGCTCGGGCTCGTCCTTCCCGCGTCTCACCCCTCACACCCCGCACGATTGCCCTGTCTAGACGTCTTCGTTGGACGACTGTATGGATTAATAGACTGTGGAATAACACTAGGAAAAAAAAAGGAATATAAAATAATAATATTTATGGATCAGATTTTTATTCCATATTTTTTGAAAAACTATTCAATCGTGAAATGAACTCCTTGAATAACATCATTAAATAGCATCCATTTTTGATTAATTAGAAATCAATTTTATAACTCGAGCTCTGCTAAAACTGTCGAAATAGCAACTTCCTTTATTTGTAAATAAGAAGTAATATTTATTTATATCTGTTTTTATATATGGAGAGCACTAATTATTATCTTATATCACTAACCCACTTCGATGTCAATTTTTTCAGTACAAACTCGACGTCAAAGTAGCAGTTTACGGTATTTAAAAAAAATCCCAAATCCTTTTTCGTATATCGACAGCACTAACTGAGCACTGAATTATGATCCTATATCACTAGGTGATAACCCACATGGATGTCAATTTTGGATCACTTACATTGCTGAACCTGTCAAAGTGGCAGTTTACGGTATATGAAAATAAAATTTTGTTTAGCACTTATTTCTCGCATGTGCTTGCAGCAATAACTAAGCACGTAATTATTATCTTATATCATTAGGTGATAGCCCACTGGGATGACAATGTTTCATCACATACTCTGCTAAAGATGTAAAGGTAGCAGTTTATGATATTAAAAAGAAAAAAATATTTTCTCAAACCTTTTTGCGTATATCGACAGCAATAAATGAGCACTAAATTATTGATGCTTATATTTGGTAATGTATTGAGCGGTTATCGGTTTAGGTGGTAGAACACTGCTAGCTTAATTAAATTAAATTAAATTAAAAGCTAGCAGTTTTCTAATTTTTGATCAAGCTATTTTGGCGTGAAATTTAATTTTGCAGCACTAAATTAACACTAAATGAGCACTTAATATTTAGCAAAAATTTTACTGATTTTGCCCAAAGAACCATTCCAGCTTTAAAAG